TTAGCCATAAAATATATTTTTAACTATTATCATACCATTTATTTTTCAGTGACTCTGAGCTTGACAAGGAATTACCGAACAGTAATATGCAGGGACGATGTACTCCTAATATTCGTCGAATGAATATTATAGGTCTAACAGCGCTACATCGATGGAAGAAGGCTTAATAGTAGAGGGTTTCCAAAAAAAGCGTTGAAAAATTTGGCGTTAAATATCACATGCTTATTGGCGATGGCGACTCTGGTATCATAAATGGACTATTGATTACTATGTCATACGGTTCTAACCTCATGGTTAAAAAAGTAGATTGAAAAAATCACCTTTTCAGAAATTTTTGTTCCAAATTGAAGCAGTTGGGGAAGAAAACTAACAACCAATAATGTTACTTACCAGTACCTACAAGAAAAGGAGTTGTGAGCAATGTTTTTACGTGGTAGAGCCATACTGCAGTTATATTAGTAGTATAGTTGTAGCACGAATGGGTTGGCTCGACCGGGGAAGGACCACGCTCTCACAGAATACCAGCGTCAAATAGTAGCTTAATGCTGCTGTGTTTCGTGTGGTGAGTGTAAAGAACCGGAGACCACCTAAGTCCTCACGGACTGCATTGTCAACGCAGCTGCAGCTTTTGATTCGTAATCGAGGATAGATGTAAATATCTATGGGCCGCAGCAACCACTTACCATCAGGTAGGCTGTGTGCTCGTTTGTCATCCTATTCTATAAAAAAAGCAGTAGTTGGCGCCGTGAAACTTTGGAAGAACGAAGACATCACTGATGTGGAAAAAATTAAAACATCAAAAATGACATAAAAATCAGTGCCAATCATGTTTTTAAGAAAAGAAAGAAGAGGTTTTGACTTCCTTGCGAAAAAACGAGGACGAAATAAAAGAATTAGAATTGGCCACTAAAGGTCAAAGAGACAATGATTTGTGGCACACTGAAAAAAGGCTAACTGCGCCCAAATAATTCGTGTTTGTCTACACTAAAAGAGTTACTGTATACTCATTTCAGAGGAAATACGGCAACCGAATATGGAAACCAACACGAATCGGAGGCCATACGAGAATTTTCTACAACTACCAATCTAAAAGTTTCGGTGTGTGGACTGTTTATTGATTAAGATGATTATTATTTAGGGGCAAGTCCCGATGGACTTATCGGAGATGACCTCTAATTGAAGTCAAATGTCCTATTTCTGCTTCTAATATGCCACCTGTGGAGGCCAGAACTGAAAAAAGATCAAATTTTGTTTGATACGAGAAGGACAGATGATTTTAAAAAGAAGTCATGTTTACTATTATCAGGTCCAGGGAAATTGCATATCACTAGGCAATTTTGTTTTTCGTAGTATGGACGCTACACGTTTTGGCGTATGAAAAAATTAAGTACGATGATCACTTTTGGACAGAAAAAATGCAGCCAAAACGTAACTCATTTTATTTTCAGTGTTTATTACCAAAACTGATAGACCCTCGAGTTCCTAGAAATATGGCAGCTAAAGAAAGAGTGTAATAAAGTAATATGTAGTAATAAAAAAATAATTTCCACAAGTTGTTACTTTTTTATTTATTCATCTACCTAATTAAGTGTAATCTCGAAATCTTTTTAAGTTACATTCCTTATTCAATAAAGATTCTAAAATAAAAAGACTAAATACCTAGTGAAGTTATTCACAGATTTTATTTTTTCATAAGAAGTATTATTTGTGTAGGTTTTCGGTATTACTATTTTCTTCCTAGGCTATAATAATATCTTTTTTAATTATTATTTTTTTACGTTACCCCAACACTAGGACTTTCCACTGTATCGTGGAGGCAGTTTTTACATACGTAAATTGCACAAGCACAAACATCCAGACCCGGAACAATTACTTGTAGGCCATACAAATACTTGCGCCGTGCGGGATTCGAACCTGACATATTATATGTATATCGATAAAATCTCCGACATCTAATAATAACAAACCACAACTACAGCAGTATGCGTATGCCCCTGCCTCCCGACCCGTATCGTGCGATAGAGAGTTGCAAGTCTTGGAAGCAATTGCCTACATTTCTTGATTGAAATATTGTTTCGGGCGATAACATTTTTATCCCCCTAAACCTTTACGAAATGAGATAATTTTGGTATCATTAGATTCAGTACACCTTAGTCTAGGTCTGTAGGTTTTTCTTTTTAGTAAATCAGTTTAGTTTAATAAAGAAAAATAAAAACGCTCGAGGAAGTTTTTAAGTCAAAAACATAGATATTTAGATGCTAATAACTTATATCATACGTAATATTACTTTAAAATTAAAACGTACGGACCTAGTTTTTTGTTATATCTACAACATTTCCAAAAATTATAAAAATTGGACTACGTTTACTGGTGGGAAAACGTTATCGCTTTTTGTATGAAAATTTACAGCTTCACAGTCCTCTTAAGACGACACATCGGAAAGGCTATCACCGTACTGATCCGAGTGAATACATAATTTCTATAAAAACTTGAAAAACGTTGTCATAAGGTCTAAAATAGCGTAGCGCCCGCGACGATTAAAAGCGCTTAGAAATTGTCAGAATCTTAAAATATATTTTTTAAAAATTATTGATTTAAGTAATCAAAATAATGAGCAAGTAAATTATGAATATTGATGTTATGAATATATTTGAGTGATTCCCAAACATATAGATTAAATAATTTCGTTATAATTTCAACTATAGTGATTTTTTAGAGGTGTTTTCGCAAATAATTATGATCGAGTCAAAATTATACAATCGTGTTTTTGAACAATCAAATTCAAGATAAAGGCATGAATTTACCTATATCAAAATTCCACTTTCGTTAGTGGTGTCATAGTCCTATACTATTCGATGAAAGGAGATGCATTTTTCACGGTGTCGCCTTAATATTGCCTCGGGATAGTAGCCGCGTAGCATCAAAGAAAGTATCATACCGATCGACCTTTGTAAATATTCATGAAGCTTTTTTAAGTAACGAATTTGTAAGTTGCCGTCCTCGGTGATAAAATATGAGGGTTAAGTGTGCTACATGCAACAGTCATACCCGTTGGCATTGCTTTAGCGGGTCAATGTCGGAGGATAAGCAGAAAAATTAATTCACAATGAAGTCAATGAGCGAAAACAAAATGACGGAAACGCGTCGCATGTTGAATAACAAGCGATTCATGATAAACATTTGTGTGCCAATGCTACTGTAGTATATTATAATTTATTTCAGTAATATTCTTCTTTTTTATTCCCGCTTGTTAGGCTTTTTTTTTAATTTGACCATTTCTTTACATATTTCATGTACTTACATACATAGTATTGCAGTTATCGAAATTAATATTGTAATGAATATTGAATGATTAATAATAAGGAGGACTGATTTATTCAATTGTTGTTATTTCGTTAGCACTTTAGAAGATTCCAGAAGATATTACAGTAAATAATAAAAAGCATTGTTTTACTTTAAAAAATGTCTTTTATTAAGACAAAAATTAAGGGTGTCCGGCATTTTTACCAAAATGTCCGACTAAGCTCGCTGGTCTGTCCGGCTTTCCGGTTTTAAGACCTGGCAACCCTAAATCTAGGATATATTTTATTAGAAAATTTGAAGATTTAAAAAAAATAAGACACAAAATTGATTAAGGTATGAGTCCCTGATTACTAAACACCACATTAACAGATCCTATGCAGGCCAAGCCGGGGCGGGTCACAAATAAAGTAGGATTTATTGTTGCAAGACAAAGGCCTCAATCATTTCGCCAATTTAAGAAGAAAGAAAAAACTGCATAGATGTTATCTGTTGGAATACATTAATATAATGGACGGTTAAACCGAAAATAACCAGTGGCGCACGAATGAGAGCTGCAGGAACTCAAGCGGGTCGTAAATCATAACGCATTCGGCTTGTTAACGAACAAATCGGTGCGCGGAACAAACAAACTTGAACTTGGCGAGTCCCGCTAAAAATAATTCTATTGCGTAGCGCGATTCGTTCGCGGGGCCTGCAGCCGGCGCTTTTACAACGTAACCGTTTATAGCATTGCAAAAGCCGAATCTGTTGCTAATGCGTTTGTAATTGGGGTGTACAAATAATTATAATTAGTAGCAAGTTCTTACATTTTAATCTAAATACGCTATCTTCAGTACTAATGTAGTTGTTGAAAACTTTCCTTACAACTCCATTGTTTTGGAGAAGAAGGAGTTGATAGGCCGGTAGTTGGACGATTCTGAGCGGTCGCTTTTTTTAGGGATCGGGTGGACGAAAGCCGTCTTCCATGTAATGTAATGTATCTTTGTTTGATTTCAAAAATATTTTATCAAGCTTTCTATTTTTGCTATAATTGGAAATAAATGTACAGTGTGGATTTAGCCCATAACATAAATAAAATATACTTTCAACAATAAAATTATGAAAGACATAGCATTACTCAATTCGTACATTTCAATACAGTAGTAGGCACTGAGCACCACTTAAACGTATGCTCGGTGATTTAGCCGAATATTCGGCCGACTACAAATATTCCGTAAAGCTGCCGAATATGCCGCATACCGAATATGAAACGAATATTCGGCCCATCTATATCGTTACGGAGAACAGAAAATTTGTTGAAAATAGAAATCAGGCATAAGTTACATTCCTTCTCAAAAGCAATATCGGAATTTCTAACTATTTAATTTAAATTTTTAAACAATTAAATTTCTTAACCTAAGATGTACTAAATACACTAAAACTTCTTTACTATTAATCGTCACTTCTTCGACCTCTTGACAATTTTTTTATTTCACAACCGCCAGCTGAAATCTCTTTAAATTGCATTCCTTCTTGGATTACATATTACTCGTATATATGCACGTTATGTTTAACGTTACAATGATAGTTTTAGAAGTAGCAGATTTTGCATCCACATTGTCAAAACTGTCTTAATTATTAAAAACAAATATATTTACTGAAATATTGTTTATTAAATGGTCCTGCTTATCGTGTTTATAAATACCAATGCCACTAACCTTCTTGTACAGCTTGATCCATGTGAGGTCACCCTTCGAGTCGGTGTACTGAAGACCGAAGAACCAGACCTCACGCAGACCGATGGTCTTGACGACCTGATCGAACAGCTGCTTGCCGGTCGTCGTTTGCTGGATCGCGAACTCCAGCTCCGCGTCCATCGTCGTCACGCGGACGTTCATCTGTTAAAAGGAAATATTTGTATAAGTTGAAAATAAGAAGTTAATAACAAAAATGTCAATGTTTCTTTGATTACTTATGTATGCTATTGTTGCAGATGGTAGTTAATTGTGGTAGATGGTTTGCACAATAGTAAAAACCGAAGCCCCCAAGACAATTCGCAGAGCGTACCTCATCTCGCTATTATCCATTAGGCTATTGGCAGACTTTTCAATGTTAATGAAATTTAAATTGAAGCGCTTTGACAAGATAAGCAATTTATTTTATTGTCGACGGCAAAGGCAATAACTAATAAATTTACTCGACGTTTCTTATTCACAACAACGCTTCTTGCCTTTCAAGTGGATGCGCATATGGCAGTCAATTAACGTGATGCCAACTTCGATACAAGTTTAACTAATTTATGACGAGAATAAGGCCCGTCACATACATTCCGTTGCGAATTTCGGATTTGGAATTCCGAATTCAGCAAGTCCATATAAAATCCGTTTCCATTTCCGTTCGAAATTTTGCGGGCATAACGGGATTCCGTATGTTCGTGGTCGACCCGTTCATTCGCTTTCGGAATTCAGAATTCCGTATGTATGTGGCGGGCCTTATAACTGTTAATATTTAAGTTGACGGAGTTAATTCGTTACCTACCCTCCGAAAATAGTACATATCTCAAGACTTTGACATGATGATAACTTTGTAAGTTATAACCTGATAAATCTAGTATAGACACTGATTGTCTCGTCGTCTATTGGTCGTAAACGCGATTGTTGATCATGAGGTCCCGGTATCGAATCCCGGGCCGGGATAAGGGTAGGGATATGGGGACAAGAAATTCTCAGTAGAAGCCACGAAGCTGTCAATTGGCAGTGTTTTACCCCTGTACCTCGGAAAGCATGTAAAGCCTTTGTTCCCGCGTCTGATCCCTCTCCGCTTGTTTTGGATTACCGTTCCATCGGAATATATGAGTGAGGGAATATACAGGGTGGGCCATTTAAAGTGGAAGCATCGGGCAACCCTATATCTCTGACATTAGTTGTCAGATCGATTAATGACATACCGTGTTGAAAGCGTCATTTCAGTAGAATTTTAACCATGGAGCAGTACAAACCAAAAAAACGCGCTGAAATTGTTCAGTTGTACATTCAAAATAACTTTTCGATCATGAAAACTAAACGTGCGTTTCGTAAAAAAAATTAAGTGAAAATTGCTCCAGGTGTGTCGGTTTTATGCCACCGAAACCCCTCAAGTAATCGAAGAGCAGCCTCTTTACGACCAAAAAGTTACCGTTTGGTGCGGTATTTACGCGGATATGGTTGTCGGGCCGTATTTTTTTGAAGACGATGATGGAGCTATGGTAACCGTCAATGGCGAGCGTTATCGGGTCATGATAACGGATTTTCTAATGCCAATTATTCGTGAACATGACGTGGACGATCAGTGGTTCCAACAGGACGGTGCCACATGCCACACAGCTCGAGCAACAATCAATTTATTGCGACCACTGTTCCCTGGGTGACTGATATCGAAAAATGGCGATTTTAACTGGCCACCGAGATCACCTGATTTGCCGCCACCAGACTTTTTTTGTGGGGTTATTTGAAATCCAAGGTATACGCTAACAAGTCAAGGACTCTAGATGCCCCCAAGAACAATATTCGTCAAGAAATTGCTGCCATATCCGCCGAAATATTGGCCAACGTCATTGAAAACGCCGAAAAAAGGACACATTTGGTTGCCAACGCCAAAGGTGGCCATTTGCGCGATATCATTTTTAAAAAATAATTATAACAAATCTCCTTAGATCAAAATAAAATATTTTACAAATGAACAATATAAAAAAATATTTTTTATTTTTTTAACAAACAAATGCTTCCACTTTAAATGGCCTATATGGTAGTACACTTGGGCGCTTTAATGCTGTCCTGCACAGATGGCTGGTCTCCGTTAACACTGGCCGTCGTGATCGAAATTCGGTCTGGAGGACTTCATTATTATTATTATAGACACTGAGTGACGATCTTGTAGCTGGGCAATGTTGGGCGTGCAAGAAACATATGCTGTAGCTGTAGTATTACGTATCAAAGTGTTCTGAGTCGTGGTCGCTCAGAAGTTAATACCAAACGCGTCACTATACCGGTGATCCCTACATATTATTATACAATAAAGTCTATACAAATAAGATTATTAAAGATATTAGTTGATCCTAAAACGAAAACTGCTCAAGATAAAAATTATAAAATGTTATTTAAAACTTGCAAAATTATTCCCATAGACATGAAAGTAAAATCCATCATAATATATCATAATATACAGTTAAGAAACCAAAGACATATATAATGCCGAAGCGCCAAATTACACAAAGGAGGAAATATTTCATACCTAGGGTTGAAAATTACTTTCTGACAAACTGCCTTTCAGTTTGGCAAAATTTAAAATGTAAATAACGTACACTCTTTCTAAGAATAAATAAATAAATAAAATAAAACTTTTCAATCAGGCCTTAGGCTGCGTCTCCGTATTCTATCACCATAAAATACTATAATACATACATAATAGAATGGAGGAGTGGGCGGAGCCCGTGTAGCCACTAAAATGTCACTATAACATGTCAATTTCACACATATAAATGTCAACAACAATGAAACATGTTTTGACGTTACAATCGTTTCCAAATTTCGCATGCAAATTATTTAGAAAATGCCAAATTTCACCCTATTTACAAATAAAGATGTAATAAAATTTGGACGATTTTTTTAATGACGAACTTGAACATTAATGAAAACTCTAAAATGTGTAAATTTACTCAATCTGTCAACACAGCCAATCGGGTTTGTAGTTGTGATAATACGACGTAATTGCTTGTATGTGTGCTCCCAGCGACGCCGATCCTCGTACAAAATAAAGTTGACAGCCAATCTATTGTGTATTACAGCATTCTATGTCTATCACCGATAATAAATAAGATGTTTAAGAGAATTTCTTTTCTTCCTATTTGTTACTAGATCTTGGGCTTAGGAGTCCGTTTTGTTAGATATGTACGCTCTTCTTTCACTATAGAGAAGTGGGTTCATTGTCAACTTCCTTCTAAAGGGAAAACGAATCTCACGCTTCTGTTTATAGTTGGCTCCAGAAATCTTGGTTGTAGGTGCTATTTATTATTAAGTGACCTTTTTTAAATGTTATAAAAAGTCTTACGTCACTTAGTGCTTGATACTGTATTGTAGCACGTGAAAGCTGAATATAATTGTTAGTTGAATTTCGTAGTATTGTAGTATTTCATGCTTCGTTAGTTTAAACTTTAAATAACCATTTGCATAATCATTATAAGTTATGTCTTAATAAAAGCACGTCCATGTAAAATACATAAATTAAGAAATATCATATTACATGCATATAGTTATATTACATTTTATATATTATAGAAAACTACTGTAATATATAAAATGTAATGTATATAACGACATAATTAAAAATAAGGGTCATGGCTCCGTTAGACCGAAAATAGTGCAGTATTAATTTTGAAATAAATATATTGTAAAGTTGAGGACTAATGTTAAGTAACAGTTACAAAGTTAGACGAAAACACGATTCCGCAAAATTTTCTCGATAGAAAAAAATATCCTCAAAGTTACCTCCAAACTGAACAATAAACCGCTGGTATTCATAAAATACTGTAAATTAGAAAATCATGAAACTTTGCATACTAACTGATTATAAAGCAGGGCTTATGTTTTTTTTAAAATTATTTTACCTTTATTTTCACTGTAAAAAGAAATTCTATCGGCGTCTTGAAGCTTGTTCCCTGCCGCCCGATCAGTCCCGCTTCGGCTTTCGAACGGGAAAGCTGTGTCGCTTACGATCAGATTACACATTACGCAACAGGACGACGTAAAATTAAAATGGGAAATAACCGTAATAAAAATAAGTAGCGACTGGGAACAGGCATAAATACGATGAACCTAATGAAATAAGTATTTAACGACCTATCCATTTACAGTAATAGTGATTACAAACATGTCGATACATAGCATAAGACGCGCGGGGAAGTGGGGGCGAAATTAGAATTTGAGCTGAGGTAGTATAGGCCCTTCATTGCCGCGCTTGATTGAAAACAAAAAAGCAAATAAAATCAAAAATTTTAATTAAATTTTAATTTAGTTTATAAATATAAACCGTCTCCATTGAAAAATACACAAATATAACTAATTTTCATGGTGGTCGATCAAATAGATTTTGAGTTAAACGATTTCGTATACACAAATATCCTCTTTTATATTTATAGATGACTCGTGTTACATTCTTTCTCAAATATTTTTTTAGGAAAATTTATGTGTAAGATTTTCCTAAAAAAGTAACTTCATCGCTATGCAATGTATCAAATATTTCACCGCTTTCCTGAGTGGCGCCGCCCTGGTGGCAATAAGACGTGGATGCCTGCAATGAGAACGCTTTGTGAAAATCTTTAAAAATTGAAAGTAACTCGACTCGACACGACTGTGTACGGTATTAAAAAAATGAATGTCTCCGTATTCGTAGATTCATTTATTAATAGACACTTCATGCTATATTTAGACTGTTGAATCGCTGCCAAACGGATGCGATCTTCCGGTCCTGTTTATGTCACGAGCTCACGACTATTTGTAATTGCGGCTTCAACGACTGGATTTATTTACGTGTAACAAATTAATCGACGCGATTAACTATTCCAGCCTAGGACGGGTTCGAATCACATGCAAATTATTGGTTTTAATGTTCGGTGATTGTTTCATGGATTAAGTTTCATGAAAATCGGGAGGGATCAACATTTTTATTTCTTCAGTCAACTTATTCATGCCTGAAATCTTAAAAAGGTCTAGAACATCTTATGCACAATTAGTGCTAATGTTCTAGATCGTTTTTATCTATGACTGAGATAAGAAAGTGACGATTTCGCTCACAATAAAGAAATCGCCTTAAATAGCCTTATTTAAGGCTATTAAAAACCCTATTACAAAAAAGTTTATAATTA